TTTATTTTGAGACTCAAAAGAATGAATCTGCTTACTTCAATTATTCCCAACCGCCATCGTCAAGGGAACATTCATTAAATAATTATAATTATTCGATAGGTTAGAACAGTTTTTACATATAACATTCATAGGAAGAGTAAGATGGGGTAAAACGCGTTTTTATCGTATTATTCAAAGACTAATTTATACATGCAGATTCGAAGATGATAGTTCTCCAGCTCTTCTTGTGATTAAATTAGTTTTGAAAAACAAGAAAATAAGCGCACATTTCCCTATAACAATTTCATTATTCTGTAATAATTTGGATCAAAAAAATAGCTAGCAAAAAATTTCCCGATTTTGTCAGTTTCCCGTTTTTGTCAGCCTAAAAAAGAGGCTGGTAAAATCAGGAAGCACTGTATAGGTTTGTTTTTATTTTGAATAGATGAAAACTTATTGATAAAAATTTTCGATTTTAAATCTATAGAATCGAAAAAAAAAATCAGGTTACTAAATTTGATATCATGATATCAAAATAATAACGAATTAGGCAAAAAAAAATATTTTACGTCCAAGAAGATGCACTTCAATCATGTCGAAAATCTCATGTAATTTATATGGCCACAAAAATAAACAAATGCAGTAAACACTTTATTAATGATAATTTTGTCCTTGTTGGCAAGTATTATTACACCATATTTTTGACAAGATTGAAGTACATCCACTTTGATGTGATATCAAAATTAATGTTTTGCTGTGTAGTTATACTAACAAATTGATTGTTTATTTTCAACGAAATTTATGATATCGAAACGCACACATGGATTTGTTATCCTGAAAACATGATTTGTTATCTTTTTAATATCCTCCACATCCTCCATATTTAGATCTAATTTTTGTTGATTACTGTTAACTTGACCACACGGTAGGTAAAATGTGTTATCATGAACGCATTTACTATAGCCAAAATACAAATTACGGTTTTTGAAATTTTTTGGGGTATGTATTTATGCAAATGATGAATAATGTACAAAATATATAATCTCGAAAAATATAATAACTATATGCAATTTTGTTGCCCCTTTCGTTTAAAGGAAGGTTTCGCTTTACGCACTTTTCTTGGTCTGCTTACTTCCTACATTAAATCATACACAGTGCTGCTCGATATAATAACAGCGCGTGCCGATTTTCATACAAAACTGGCAACTTTGACATTTTGTAACATTATTATCTTAAGATCAATTAAGCTGAAACGTTCGCCACAGTACTACAAATATGTCCCATTTTACTATTACAAAATACCACATTTTTGGAAGCACCTGTCGGAAGGTGAGATACTAAGTAAAATTGTTCGAAATAGTACCAGTTTTTGATTTGAACATTTATGTACTGCAAATATTTCAAACATGTTTAACTATTGTGTACATTTGTTAATTGGGTGAGGATTGTTTGGATTTTGAGAAATGTAAAATCTAAAACCTTAAAATTAAGCTGAAATGCAAATTATTAAAACTGCTATCATTTCGAATAATTATACCTAGTATCTCACTTTCCGGCAGGTGCTTCCAAAAATTTGGTATTTTGTAATCGTAAAATTGAACATATTTGTAGTTCTGTGACTACGGTTTCAGCACAATTGATCGTAAGACTCTAATTATGTGGCCTATGGTACTAAAGATTGGGCTCATCGATAACAATCCCCTGTTGTTTATTGTTTCTTAGAACAATACGTCAAATGGAAATTTTTGGTTGCTGGTAAAAAAATTTCTAAAAATGCTTTATGGGCCCAATATTTGGGACACTTAGGCCGACATTAGGGCCATTAACCCTATATATAATGTGAACTTTAGTGATGCATATGGTTATACATAACAGCTCAGTGTGAGGAAATAAGAATACAGGACTTATTATCACATAGCACACGAAACTCCTCAGTGGATCACGGCCAGACGAGATTTTTAACCAAGAAATAGACGAAATGGCTCTAATGTTGGCATATGGATCTAAATATTGGGCCCATTGATAAAAAATCTCATGTTCTTCAATTTTTCGTAAAACCATGCGTCTTCTGGACAATACATTTTTTGTTGCTAGTGAAACATTGTCAAAATATGTATTCCTTCGAGCTATATGCATGGGCCCAATATTAGGGACACTTAGCCCGACATTAGGGACGTTAACCCTATCAACAGATCGCTAAACATATTTGCAAAGAATTACCAATCTTCTAGTTTCTAGTTGTTTATCACAATACATACAAACAAACAACGTCGTAAGTTCACACACACATTTCACTCAATTTCACACTTTCCCCATTGCTCATCAGTGAATAAATTATGGAGTTATCGCTCGCATTTTCGCTAGCATAACTTATATTCAGATGTAAACATTCTTCTGATATTTATAAACTCATCACATGATGCTTTGTACGCGTATTTGTTTCTCCGTCGGTCTGTTTACTGTTCTAATTACACGAGGTTCGATCGAAGAAGGATGGCACACACGACTACGTTAATCAGGAAAGATCACAACGAGACGGATAAACTGCTTGCGATGAAAGTTACACTAAAACTGGCAATCCGAAGTAACACTATAGACGTTGGTCATCAAATTAAAACTCGAACTCGAATCGGTAGGTACACAACTGATATGTAGTCAGGAAGTTCTATCTCCGACTGATAAGATAGAGCTTATCAATTGCGCTGTACCAAATCGCCTATTGGTCGAAACACATAAATGCTAAGGATGGGTTAGTTTGTGATTGAAGCATTCAATTTGAAACATTATCAATGAAAACACACCCGGTCAACTGATTACTGGGTCGAACATCTGGAAGTGTCTTTTCTCTTATCAGCAATTCAACAACTGGATGCGACTGCGTGCCATCAAAAAGACAAATGCTTCTTCAAACAATGAAAAACCAAACACCTGGATGTTTTATTACCGGGACAAAACCAGCAAATCAACTAGACACTTTGCAGTTATACTGTCCACTTCTGTTATTTTTAGCATGGGGATTTCACCGTACTCGTTGTACCCCTCACAAACGATAACCCAAATGGTATAATAGGGTGCTTCACTTAAATAAAAAGGTTGCAATCAATCACCTTGAGTTCGAAATGAAGAATCTACGAAATTTTATTTATATGCGTTAAGTAACACGTTACATAAGACAAAAATCTTTTTCCGTTACAAAATACATTATATGAAGTGCTTCATCGAAAACTGGTTGGCGAATTTTGCGGAAATAATCAGAAACTGGCTACATTCTCGGGGGTAACCGGAACATAACCGGATGCGGTCAATGTGGTCCTGGACACTCGGTTTAGTTGTCATTGATATTGATTTTTTAATTCTGATGTAATTTTATAAGTCGCATGATAGAATTTGGTCCTAATCAGGAACTGACCACTTGGGGGTACTCGGAACATAGCCGGATGAAGCCAGTGTGGTCCTGGGTACTCGTTTTGGCTGTCATTGATCTTGTTTTTGAATTCTGATGTTATTTCTGATATTATTTACGGAAAAGTTGGTAGTTATGTGATTTTTTTTCCAACTACAACTTTGCTTAAGACCACATTTTAACATTGAACGTCAGGATAATTAGTTATTAATTAGAACCAGAATCCTGATCTATGATGATGATGATGATAATGGTCCCAAAGCTTATCCCTTTCAGGTTTGAGCTGGACGATTTATTTTTAAAATAATTAAGAATAACATTTAACTAGATTAGCAATCAAAAACGAACTGGTTACAGTTGCAGATATAAATTCCTTTAACACTTTTCAGTTGCTTCACAGCAATATAAATGTGAAAAAGCTTAGGCGTTTACCTCTTTGTTCACCCTTTTGACCACCTCGAACATTCACTAGCATTGCCAGCGATCAAGAGTTCATGAATAATCAACAAAGCATTCTAATGATCTATTGAAAATAGCTTCATCAAAATCAAAATGAAGGCTCTTCAAAACCATTTACGAAATTCAATGCTATTTTTAACGATTTCTGGATTATTTTGGCATTATAAGGTTGTTTTTAACGTTGTTGGTGCTTTTTTACATTTTCGTCTTATGGCAATTTTTGAGGATTTAAAAACCGTTTTTGGCGTTTCTAAGCTCAATTTGCCTTTTTTGTATCCTTTTTGATTTTTTTTTTGTGCTCTTTTGGCTATTTTAAGCTGGTGTTTCCGAGACAATTTTTGCGTTTTAAGCTGTTATTACGTATAACGTATATTTTTTACATTCCGGTTTTTTAAGCTATCATGTTTTCTTTCACATGGTAACTGTCTTGGCGCATCAAGGCCTTTTTTTAATTTCCAACCCTGCAAAAGCCTTCAATTTAGGACGTTTATGATCACACATCTCTTTAACATTAATATTAATATTAATATTGATGGGCCGCACGTTTATGGATATTCTCAAAGTGTGCCGCCACTAACGAAACTTTAAGAATCACTTTTCTATAATAGCAGAAGCACTTTGATGGTACATCTATTTCACAAATGATTTGGATTATATACCAAACACGTCTTCAAGCATTTGTTGTGGCCTCTTTAAATGATAGAGTTAGCATCTATGCCTCATGCCAAAAGGTTCAAATCCCTACCCAAGAAACGTCAAGAATGGCATAAAATCTTAAATTGTTTAGAAGTGACTCACATTAAAACAAAACTCGAATGCATGAGATCCCGGGATCAGTATGATTATTTCCTGGGTTTTGGGAATCCTGGGAAATCCTAAATTCCTACCATTGCTAATTCCAGGACATCCCGGGATGGAAGCTCTATTCTCAGATGACTATTACCGGCATCCTGTTTCTATGTTTTCTGGTGTTTTTCTAGAACCCTTACCATTTGAACTGCTTGTTAAACAGCTGTTTAATATCAGCTCCTCCAAATAGGTAGTATTTTGTATAGCTTTTGTTTCAATTGCCTTAATCAGATTGCGAAAAAAAAATTGTCATAAAATGCTGAGAAATTGCCAGCTGAACCCTTCATTTACTCTACTAAATTTCACTTACTTTTGATCGCTTTTCGCAGAATTGTTGTGGCTTGGACTGCACGATAGTTGGCTATTGGTTGGGATATGCACATCGGAACTTAGTGGCTCTATGGTTGATGAGATGGGTAGTGGGCGAAATCCAAGACCAACACTACTTGTAGATCTGTAAATAAGAAAATGACACAAGTTTAGTCATATTTACTATCTTTTATGCGCTACTGATGTTATGGATTCAAATGTATACATTTATGACACGATTTTGTTCAAAAATTTGGGAATTGTATGTTTTCACGTTTACAGTGTCCGTTCGATTTTTGCAACACGTCTCCGGTGTCTGTAATTTGATTGTCTCTGTAGTTTAAAATCTTAAACTCTGTATAATATTTTGCTTTGCTTGCCCTGAGAATTGTGAAGCTTTGATATGATATAATCAGACATGACGTGACATCGAACGGATACTGTATTACGTTTGTATTATAAAGGTTACAGGTTATAGTCCGCTAAATATTTCAGCATTTAATGCAGATACTCCTAATTACTTAATTAAAATTAAAATGCTGTCAATTGCAAGATGCGAATTAAAGTGGGTCAAGTTTGAATTGCTCTTCATTGTGTAAAATGGCAAAAGGAATAGAATGACGCGAGGTTTTTGGAATGTAAAATTATGCGTCGAAAAAATGGCTTTTGAATTTTATGAAAATGCAGCAAAGTAAATATAACATCAAAATCATCCCGCAAATCCTGATAACAACCAAACTTGTTCAAATTTGGCACAGTCTCACTACACTCACTTATAGATGAAAAATGCAACTTTTCGAACAACTAGGTACATCAAATCGAGATAATACCCAATTAAATTGATAAACAGAGACAGCAATTATAATAAATCTTTGCAAAACCGTTTTATTTTCAAATGATTTATATATCTTCCACACTTCATTTGTTTACTGATCTACTTATTTATCTGGTTAACACCAAGTCGTCAACATCGAAATTGATCGATGCTCAATTCATTCCTACGCACGCTTCTGTTTGTTTTCTTTGTTGTCATTATTTGCTTCCATGTTGTTTTTTACATTTACACGTATAAAACATCTCAATTCCCGTCCCACAAGTGACCAGAGCTGCCTTATCGCCATATGTCTGCAAACAAACAAAACGACTATAAACATTAAGAATATAGGGGAAATGGCTCTAATGTTGGCCTATGGATCTAAGATTGGGCCTATCGGCCTGCTATTTATCAATTTTATCTAGATGAACGCGTCATTGAGACGGTTCTAATGGATATTTTTGGTTGCTATTGAAAATTTAGTTGATTTCTGAATTTATGTATGGGCCCAAATTAGGGGCATTTAGGCCGACATTACATCCATTTCCCCTACATACCGTAAACGGGATCGAGTTGGCGTATTCTTGATCACTAGATTTTTCATAATTTTTCTTCAGATGCAATAATGTTATGGCTTCAAGGCGTAAAAATATGTACCAAATGTTTATTATTATTTATTTACTTGCCCTCATATAAAAAAGCACAGACAGCTTAATTCCTAAAACTATTGTATGTAAAGTTTCATACAAATCAGAGAAAGGTCGATTAAAATATAATTTTTTTCTCGCTATTTTGTCTGGAATTTCATATTCTTACTAAGATTTTAATGGGAGAGAGTGGACTAAAAATCTTACACTGTCTTACATTGGTGAAGAGGGAAGCTGAAAATATCTCAAAACCTCTTACAAAAATTGTAAATGGCTCCTTTGGACATTGTTTTTGTGTTCATTTTTTATTTCAAGCAAGGAAATGCTCAAGAACGACCTCGAATTTCTTGATCAACCTTGTACCTTCGATTACACGCATCTTTTGTATGAGAAAGCTTTATTCAAATATTCAAGATTCTTGTTGAACATGGATGATGGAGCAGAAATTGTGTCAGAGGTTAACATTGATTTTCTTTTTAATTTTGATTGACCATTTTTGATAATCATGCAACCGTTTTGAACGGCAAAACAAACGTAATATAACACATTCAAAAAACTGAAATCACAAAAAAAAATAAACTAGAATTGCAACTATCTATTCCCTTCATAATTGGATAAGATATAGTTTTAAGTTGACAATAATTGTTATACTGGCACGCAGCTAAATAAAACTGTTTAAAATACTGAACTGCTAAGGAAAGAGCAATGTAAACACACTTAGATATGAAATACCATATTAGGTTGGTAAGTTAAGTTAGAAGCTGGATCACCTAGGTTAAAAAATTAATGATTTGAATTTATAACAAATAAATTCCGATGTTCAGTTTTATTTGGCCCAACACCGACCACTTATTAAATAGCAATGGACCAATTAATAAAGGTGAACATTTCCTAATTTGCGTATGGTTGGTTCCATATGTTTGAGAGATATTTCCGATCTACTGTCGTCGACGCATTAATAAAGGGAAGTGATGCAAATACATTTCAAATCACGGTAATAGAATGGAACATACGAAGTGACATACAATGCAAGAACTAAAAAACACATTGCTTGGAGTGCTGAACAACTGACATGTCAGACGGATAATAACCTGCCTGAAATTTTGCAATACATAATAAGCCAAAATAGGTGTCACAAACGAAAACGACCACAAGACATAAGTACCTAGATTTTCGCAACATTCCCCACTTGATGTTGCCGTTGACGCCGATGTCAAGCTTTTCCGTCGACGATCCATCTGAGGAATTAATTTTGCTATTTCTGTCGCCGGCCGCCGTTCCGGTAATACCTTGCACGAGACACAACATGGTCGTGGAAATTTTACGAGTCATAAAACGAGACTTTCGTGCTCTTTTCCTTCTGTTTGCTTTCTGTCGCTACTGCACGACATTGGTGTATAACTAGTGTAAGTGAGCCCCCAAACTAGCCAGGAGGTGGAAGTCCTACAGAATTATACCACTATGACACGCCATCAGCACCGATCTACATACATATCTAGATGATTGCCTTCCACAACGAGGTTTCCGCTCTTAACTCGCCACCACGTTTTTTCTATTCTGGTCTGACACAACCTGTTGTACCGTTGAACACTAACATCATTTTCAATTGGCGAAAACTTATGAATTATTGATCCCATTGTCTTCAATAATTAATCACATCTTTTGTTAACACGTTTTGTTTTGGCGTTCTGATACAGAAATACTATCACAGTTCCAAAATTTATCCTATACACGGCATTGACTTCTACTAGACATCTAGGACACACTGCACAACAGATACACTGCAATAAACGGTTAATTTGAATGGTGTATGTTAATGGGTTCTTGGCAATTTGTGTTCATAATTTATCACCACTAGCTGAGAAACGTTGTTAAAAGTAAATAACACAAAAAAAAGTATATTCTAGTCCCACTTTACGTTGCATGCATAGTATAGTGTAGTAAATAAAATTGAAATGGAATCATCTGTGCACCAAATGGAACGAGAAGAGGATATATATATAGTAATAATCACCATGGCAGCTGTGAATGAGAAAAGGGAGCTTTCACTGGCAATGCGTTTATTTACCCAGCTACACACAATCAAAGCCACTACCTAGCACTCTTCCAGTGCCTACCTATTCGAAATTAATTATTATGAAAGGTGAAAAGACTATTGAATTGCGTTTCTCCCGCTTCTGCTAGCAAACTAGGCAATGGCAGTGACAAAAAGTTCAAGGGTAATTACGGGCGGTACGTAGCTTTTTACCTGTCTTATTGAACAGGTGAATCTTGTTCACGTTATATGTATCTGCTTCTGTAAGTATATTACTGGTCAATATCTAGTTTTTTTTTATATGTTAATCTTTGGTTTTATATACATTAAAATATTAAAAAAAAATGTTTAGAGTCTTTAGCTTGATTTAACTCGAAATTAAAAGTAATTTTCCCTACATCCAGTTGAAAACCCTAAAATTGCACCAATTGCGTTAAATCCTGTAAATTCGGGCTTCTGAATTTTTTTATCTAATTCGCCGACACTTTCTGCCCCTTTGTACATATTCCTCCTCTGTCCTCTTAAGGGCTGTTTCGAAAATAAGTTATAAAAAATATATTTTTCCAAATCCCTAAAAAATATGTTAAAATGAGAAAAGGTATTCAATTATTTATGTCATGTTCTTCTTAAAAAGTTAACTTCACAAAAACAAATAAAAACTATTCATTTAGATACTTTTATAGTATCTTAAATTTTGCTCTTCTTATAAATGTTTGAAAGTGTGGAAAAACAGGTTTTTCGCACTTTTTATACACAACGTATTTGTGTAGAAAAGATCTCAAAAAGAATACGGAGGATAATTATAAATGGAATTATCAAGAGGAAATGTTGGAAGATGTTCACTAGCCCAATTTTAAGAACAGTTAGGAATCAGTGTCACAATTCAAAAACCAACTAGATCACCGGCCCGCGGGTTAACGTGGTTCCCAAAATTCGGTTCATTGCCACACACATTGAGAAGTTCCATCATCTCACGAGTCACCAATGTTGTAAGGACAAAACGGTTCCAGAACACAAAAAATGATCGAAAAAATTGATTTAAAAATGTAAATATAACCGTGGATCCCTATAACCCCCATCAAATCTTTGAATGATACAAAATGTCCTTGAAAACATCATATACGGTAAAATGGTCTAGAATCACCAAAATGGCACAATAAACGTAAACAATGACATAGCACCAGCAAATGGCATCAAAACGATAAAAGTCACACATAAACGTCAAAATGGGTTTGAAACGTCAAAAATAACATTTATACTCAAAAAATTACGTAACAAACTCTTAGAAACAGAAACTTTATATAAATGACAAAATATCCATTAGAACCTTAAAATGGCCAGAAATAGGCCAAAATACCAATAAAAACGCCAGAATGTAATTTTATCCGACAAAATTGCAAAAATAGCTATGCAAAAATGCAATAAATAGCCACAGAATCACCGAAATAGGCATAAAAATAAAATTTCAAAATTACCTTAATAGCTCACAAATGATCCAAAACGCCAAAATTAACCTAAACCATCCAAAAGCCGCTTATGAGATCACAAGAAATTCAAATATGTTTTAACGCCACTTCCTCGTACTAAACATCGATTCGTCAAAACTTCCCTAATATTGGTCGATCAACAGTCTATTGCAAATTGTTTTA